GCTAAAGGCAAAACAGGTTGTGGAGATATGTATAGGCTCTTTTTGAACAGGCTGCTTTTTGTTTTGTCACAAATCAGAACCATAGACTCAACATTATGTCCCAGTCAATTGTTTCCCTATCCTGGAATACAGTATTCGGTAATAATAAGATAGTAGCTCGTAATTGGTAGGTTCAAAATTCTACCACTTTCGGTAACTTCCCTTTTGCATTTGCAGCCTTCACTTTCTTCCGATCCAGTCGGCATGCTTTCGAATGTTCCGTTACCTCTTACTATTCAAGTATTTTCCTGTCATACTATGTCTCGTCGATGGAAACTCTTCTAAGATCTTTTATTTTCTTAGCAAGATCTACGTTCCTTTCCTCCTCTCGTCCCGCTTCATAGGTCTTTCATTGCCGTTACTTGTAATTGCGCACATGTTTGCGTCTTTCGGGGAAAGAGGGCTCGAAGGCGTCAATAATTAGAAACGCATTGTTTGCTAAATTTTCGCCTAAATGAAGAACTCTAACCCGGAATCTTCACGACACTAGACGATGTGCTGTAACTTCTTTTTGTTGCTCTTGGAGCTCGACATAAAACACTGTCTTCCAGGATGATACGGACGACGTGTTTGAATCTCCAGTGCATTCGGATGTGGACGAAGTTGATTCAGATTTTGATAAACCAGAAGAAGAAGATGAACCTGTTAGTGGTGATGAGAACGAGGAAAAGCGATCGAGACGTAAAGGCGTCAAAGGCTATAAGGTGGTGGTGCTACTTCCAATCCTTCTATGGGCACCGTTTGAATGTTCACTCTACAGGACCCTTCACGAGGTTCTCGTGCCGATTCTTCTAAAAATAAGGCATGGGCAATGGCAAGAATGGCAGGTAAAGTAGTTGCTGCCAATTCTGTGGACGCGAAAACTCAGGCAGCTCGATTGAAAGAAGCTGAACAGACGGAAAAAGCGAACATCGAGTCGCTCAGAAAGTTCGTTTTTTTGTGGACAACTTTCTTTTTTATATCATATTTTATCAACGAAAACCTTAAGGAAAGTTGCTTTCTAAGCATACTTTTTGTCCATTTCTGTGATCTTGATTGCCTGTTAGTTATGCCCATATATATGGAGTGGCCATCTTTTGAAAAGCTTGCAAAAGTTTTTCGTCACTTAACCATGTCTTTTTTCTTCTCAATTACTTGCGCATTTGAGCGCTGTGAGTCAAGGCGCGGCCATTGACAAGCCATGTTGCGCTTTTATTTTCGAAATCTCACTCTCTTGCTTCTGAAAGGCATCAGTTCTATTCCAAGATGTCACAAAGAAGTAGGTGTTTTTGTGCTTTTGTATGTCATGTTTCAAAGTGGCAACGCGCAGTTCGCTAAGGAGTTCGTAGTACCATATTTTGGGAACCTTGCCTTGCATCTCCTTTCTCTCCTTTCACGCTCACTCTCTCTCTCTCTCTCTTCTTTCGGTTTTTCTATAGTGCACAAATCTTTGTGTCAATAGACATTTCGAGGGTGCCTCGATGCACAACTTTCTCGATACATTGACGTATTATCCTACGATATATAATTCGCTAAGTATGTCTGTGTGTGTGTCTGTCT